TTATATATATTTATATATATTATATGTATACTTATGTGTAGGCTACGTAGTAAATAGAAATAGTTCTTCCAAGAGACTTGCATAAAAATTATAAGATAGTTTCGTACGCAAGTCTTTCGTTCCTAAACATTTTAATCGTGATATTTAATGTAGATTCAATTAAGCAGATATATATATATAGATGAGAAATAATGGAATTATTTTTAGTGATTTCTTTGTTTTTTTTGCATTAATTGACATTGAGATTGTTTTGTTGTATTTTAGGGATCAGAAATTCGCTATTCCGCCGATGGAATCAGTGATAAAGTCCGACGACAGAAGCAAGATATTGTTAAAAGTCGGCACAAAAGCGAAATTGCAAATTTTGTACATAGATCAGAAATTAATTAAATTTTAAACGGCACATCTTGTTATTGGCACGTATGGTGGGTATTTTCTACGATGCTGGCATCTGAGAAAAAATACTTTCTAATGAGGTTGTAGTTAGATGCAAAGTACGATTTTAACAAAGCTATCGCAAACTAATGCAAAATAGCGAATCTTTAGCAAAATATTTAGGAAGCTTGTGTGCAATTGTTGTAGAAATGATTATAAAAATTTGTATTTCTTAATATCAGCTTTCTAATAAGGTAAGACTGACATATGATATGATTATAATATTTTTATGATTATAATATTTTCATTAAAACGATAATATAATACTACAAACATCGCCACGTGAGAATATAGTCATTAGGTATTTCTTAGTGCTATTTATATTAGAAAAGCATGTGTTTTAATAAAAAAAATAACACATTAATTTTTATTGGAATTCAAATATTTATTATTATTTATTACAATTACATAATAATACTTATTTATGAATGGAACTTTTACATTATTATTACATATTGCATTATTAGTTATTATTATATTATTTGTATAGTAAATCAATCTTTAATATATTTAATACTAATAAAAATCTGCTAATATTTTATATGATAATTTCATATGTTGATGATAATTTGCTAATATATTACAATATATAATACTTTGTATGCTCATAAAAACCAATAAATTGGTACAATTAATTGACATCTAATAGATATCTAATCTTATAAGAATATCGAAATTTATTATTGATGAATATGCACATCCATAGTAAATGCGTTATCAAAATTTTGTTGATGTAAAATATTACAGGAAATACTAATATTTGTACGATATAATCTGTTAAGTGAATTCTGCTATAATGTGCATATTAGAACAGAGACAACGTTCAACTATATCCAAACATGACAATGAATAGATGTAAAAATATAAATATCAATAAGAGATGAATACAAGAGAAACATTTAAATCGGACATATTCAATTGGCGCTTATTTATCTCTATTGACTCTATTGACTCTGCAGACATGTTATCACATTGAAAAAACAACAAATTATAAAATATTTTACAAAAATAACTCAGAAATTCTCCATTTTCTCTCGTTAATAAATTGTTATATCCAAAATTGAATTTTTATAAAATTTAATTGCGAAGTATAATGTATAAATTACTTCTATTAAATGCTAAATATTAAACGTTCGGTCGATGTACATAATTAAAACTATATAAAATATTCTTTCGAATTTTATTTTAAATTCACTAAAAGCAATCGAATGTACTTAATTTCCTTGCTTAGATGTCAAGTAACTATTAATTCTCTTAGTGTACGTTCTTATGAAAGAAAGCATCTCTTCTATTTCATCAAGAAATTCATTTCATCAAGAACTGAGAGAAAATGCATAAATTCTGATCTTAAATATATTAGAAGTGTTCTTTTAAGTTAATGCAAATTAATATTTTCTTAAATAAGCATATTTGCATGTTAACAATTCTCTCGCAATTTTAAAAGCTTGTAAAAATTAATATTATCAAAAATACACAGAATATTATTTTAGTACACATTTAACAGACTAATTATAACATTGATCAGAATTTTTAACATAAAACTAAATAACTTTAAGTAATTAAAATATTAATTCTTAATTGTTGCAGAAATATTTATATTTATTCAATTCATTATCAATATAAAAGTTAATTATTTACTATTATCGCTATGTAATTATAAAGTTATTTTTGAGGAAAAGAAATTCGCGCGTCGCGCGAACAATAACTTTATTGTTTATTATGAAGTAACTGATGCGAGTAATAAATATTTGTTTTGTTTTAATTGTAATTCTAATAGTTTACAAAATTATTCTTCAATTTGACATCTTTCGTTGGTTTCTGTTTCAAAAACGAAGAACATTTGGATCATTAACATGTTACGGCTGTTTGTAAAATGTAGAATATATAGAACTTGTTATAAAGCAAATCTGTAGAATATTCAAATATTTTATTGAAACAAAATTAATTAATATAAGCGATTTATGTCTTATTACATAATATAGATTTTTAATGGAATTTAACTATCTGAATCAATTTTTCACTGAGAAAGAAATTTATTAAATTTTAATAAATATTCCTACGAATAATTCTAGCAGAATATTTACTGAATGTAATTTATTAGTACAAGAATCGTTCATTTTGTTTCATT